TTCAGTATCGATGCATGTATACAGTACTAACACTTAGGCTGATGACACTTAATCATTGAATCCAATCCATCAAAGTGAGATCAGTCTGAATGACCAGCATTGAAGGAAATATTTTCATTATCAGAAATATTTGACAAAAGTTAGTTTATTTGTATAGCACGTTTTACAAAACAATGTAGTTCATCTTCTACAACTTGTGTTTGTATGTCACCTATAAAAGATGAGAAAATACAAATTACATCCAACTGATTCAATCACAAAATTATTAAAAACATAAAATGAAGGCACATCCACTAGACAAAAAGAACTAGTAGTTAAGATGACCACATAAGTGACACAACAGTGACAATAGTAGTTAGAGTATAAAAATATTAAAATTAATAGTATTCAAGAGTTCAGTCATTTACATTCATAGACACTGTGCAGTCACTGTAACACAAAGATTTTTCCAAGATCATTTTTCCAAGGCTGTTCTCATGTGTACTGTCAATTCCCCACTAAGTTGGAAAGCTCTCCCACAACTTCAGTGAGTATATGAGTTTATATTTGTATGGATCATTAGATGTTTTGCCAAGTGCGTCTTCTGACTGAATCTTTCCCCACAGATGTGACAGAGTTCCGGCTTCTCACCTGTGTGGGTTCTTCTATGCTTACTCAAGTCTGACTGGTCACTAAAGTGTTTACCACGTGTTGCAGGTGTACAGCTTCTCACCTGTGTGGGTTCTCATGTGGATGGAGGATTCATAAGAAGTTTTGAAATCTTTCCCACATGTTTCACAAGAATAAGGCTTCTCACCTGTGTGTGTTTTTGTATGCTCACTCAGAACTGACCTATGACGAAAATTTTTCCCACAGATGTTGCAGGTGTACGGCTTCTCACCTGTGTGGATTCTCATGTGGATGAAGGATTCATAAGACGTTTTGAAATCTTTCCCACATGTTTCACAAGAATAAGGCTTCTCACCTGTGTGTGTTTTTGTATGCTTACTCAAAACTGACCTATGACGAAAATTTTTCCCACAGGTGTTGCAGGTGTACGGCTTCTCACCTGTGTGGGTTCTGATGTGGACCAACAAGTCTGCACGAAAAGTGAAACGTTTCGCACATGTTTCACAAAAATATGGTTTCTCACCTGTGTGAATTCTTAAGTGATTTTTCAATATTGATGGCCACCTGAACTTTTTCCCACAGGTGCTACAGGAATATGGCTTCTCATCGGTGTGGATTCTTAAATGATTTTTCAATGATGATGTCTGAGTGAATTTTTTCCCACAAGTGCTACAGCAATATGGCCTCTCACGTGTGTGGCGTCTCTGATGTATTTTCAATTTGGATTTATACTTAAAATCCTTTCCACAAGTGTCACATTTTATAGACTTTTCACCTGTCTGAGTGTTACAGTGACTCTTTGTTGTGGGGAGTTGTATATGTTGTCACTGTGACTTGTGTTTTTGTGATGTCTCTTCTTTGGTTGCGTCTCTCCATTTCTAGTTGATTCTGGGTCTACATGCTTACTTCCTTCCTGATCTTGGCTCTCAGCTACAGGAGAGTTGTGAGAGAGGAGCTGGAGGTCACTTTCCTCATTAGTAGGAGTCAACATAAAGGTATCAGTCTCCTGCTTCATTACAAGCTGCTCTCCCTCCCTGACTGGTGCAGAGTTCCTCCTCTTCCTCTTTAATCTGTGGAGGCTCTGGGTCCTCCTGGTCCAGACTGGAGTTCCTCTCCTGGTCACAGAGCTGCTGGTCAGTGAGAACCTCCTCCTCCTTACAGACATGTTGCTGTGGAGCTCTGGAGGGACAAAGGGACATTAAAATAGCATCAATACAGAGATTATAATGATTGTCAGTCACTCTACCAGTGAAATGGGAGTGATGAGACGAGATGTTGAACACTATCAACACATCATAATCATCAGCGGTCTGTATTAAGAATCAGTAGATGAGAGGTTGGTACAGTGGAACAGGAGGGACACACGGACACATTTAATGTCGGTAAATAATATGATGTTTCAAAATCGGATCTCTGGGTAAATGAACTCCTGTGTTAGTTTTCATTCAGACCATTCTGGTTTCACAGACCTGTCCTGTGTAGCTTTATTTCGGGTTTCCAAACGATATCCAGCAGTCTGCGCTGACGATCGATCTCTTCCTCGTACTCGACGATAGTTTTTTCAAAGACTCCGAATATTTCTTCAGCAGCAGCAGTTAGTCGCTCGTTGACAAACTCTCTCAGATACTGAACTGAAGACATTGTTGCTTAGTTACCACTGAAATATTTATCTGCGATACGACTACACCGTCGTCTTCAAGCTAACTCCACACGTCCATACAGCTAACTTCTACCGCACTGTTTACTTCCGCTGGGTGTCACATCGTGAAGTTCCGACAGGTGACGTGGGATAGCTTTTTTTTCCGTCTTCAGTTATGACTGTACATCTGTGTGGCTTCAATTAACAGAGAAATTAGCTTATTTTCTCTAAACTACCACATTTATCTGATGTCTTTTCGAGCTGTTTTGTGAATAATAATTTTGTATTCAAGGTATAAGCAGGGGTGGAAGAATTTCAGAAATTATTTCCAGTAAAATGTAAAGTATGAAATGAAAATACTTGTGTGCCTGTGCGT